TTATAGTAACCCTTTTAAGGAACCCCTTGAAAGGGAACCCCGCTCGAATTATGAAGGCCCCTACATTACAGCTTGCGAGATGAACCAAAGCTCCTCCTCAAGGCTTCCCGAAAAACCCACGCTCGAAGCCCCATATCCCAAAACCCCAACGCCTCAGCCACCAAGTCTGGAGGTTTTACTTAAAGGGTCGGACTTAGTAAGTAGGGTTATAATTGGGGTAACTATAAGTATAACCCCAATTAAGGGACTTATAACCTTACTTACTAAGTCCCATGATCCTCCAAGTAGGGTTTAGGGTTTTGAATCATAGAACCCAAGTCTCCATTCCCTAACCTACCCTAACCCTTCCCCTAGACTTTGGAACCCCGAACCCAAAATGCAAAAAATAAATAAAGTCCCTCGTGGGAGGTCGACCGATTACTTCTCAAAGAGATGTTGAAGTCGTGGTATGCGCAGCTCTTGCCTTGGACCGGTCATAGTGGGGACAAGTGTTCAGGGCTTCAGGCAAAAGCAACATAGGAGTTTCCGAAAATTAGGGGTACCTTATTTTCGGGTCCTTATAACAAGGATCCTACTATTTAGGGTGCTATATTAGGGTCCCCGTATTTTCAGAAACCCCCACATACATCATCAACTCCTCACCGATTTTGGGGCATCCGAACACCCTCGAAAGTTCATGTGCCGGGTGCTTTTTTGGCTCCGAAGCGATGCTCTGACGATTTAGGATTTCTGCTAGAATCAACTTGTTTCAGGGGTCTTTGTAATAGCAGGCAGATACATGGGTAGTTCTCTAAATCAGAGTCCCCTTTGGGGGGGTCCTTTGACAAGGGTGCCGTACTAACTTGGGGACCTAGAAAGGGACCCTAATTTAGAGAACTACCCATATGGGGGTTTCGGAAAATATGGGGTACCTTATTTTGGGGTCCTTATAATAAGGATCCTATTATTTAGGGTACTATATTAGGGTCCCTATTTACGGAAACTCCTATATAGAAGCTGGAGTGACCCAGCTAGGTGTGAGGGGACTTAGCACGGAAAAATGGGTAGGACCATGGGACTTCCTGGCGTGGCAGGCGGTTTAGGGTTTAGGGTTTAGGGCTTAGGGTTTAGGGTTTAGGGTTTAGGGTTTAGGTGTACTCCTCCTCAAAACTCCAGGTGTCATTAGGGTTCGGGGTTTAGGACTGTTTAGGACATACCCAATCACAAACCAAAAGCCCCCCAAAGAGGAGCCTCCAGCCTCCAACCCCGCTCCAAGCATTGAAGCCTCAAGCCCTGACCCTAGAAGCCTAAATTCCCAGCATAAGACCCGAGCACGCTCCTTATCGAGCCTTTTACGAGCAAAGTGGAACCCCCAGAAGCACAAACACCTCAAACCCCCAAAGCCCTAAAGCCGAAATTACGACTGCACGGCCCTACTATCTTTTCAAGCAGAAACCCACACACAAGAAAAGCCTCCTTCGAGCTCCTAGCCCCTGTGGTACCCTTATGTACCCACCCTTACAGGAACCCCGTAAACCCTAAGATCTAAACCCTAAACCCTAAACCCTAGACCCTAAACTTATAAACCCTAAAACCGATGAAAAGGAACCCCTGAAAAAGAACCCCTTGAAAAGGAACCCCTTAAAAAGGAACCCTAAACCCTGAACTCTAAACCCTAGACCCTGAAACCCTTCAAAAGGAACCCCTTGAGTCGAAAGCGCTCAGGGTCTCCGAGAAAGGCCCGGCCAGGAGGGTCTCGATACACGAGGTGGCGGAGGACCCACTGGGGAGTGCTTCTTGATAATGTTATTTTGTTTTTGTTTTTGTGTGTGTGTGTGTGTTTGCGGTTTTAGGGTCTAGCGTGTTCGTTAATCTTGCATGTTTGTTGTCTTTTTTTGGTGGGTTTTGGGTTTCACTGTTTAGGGTGTTACTGTTGTTGTCTGTAACGGCTTTGTGTATTCATTTTGAACTTGTACGTTTTTGCATGTTGGCATCGGATGTTGAACGTTGTCCTGAGATTGCTGTTTTGGGCTTTCTCTAGTTCTTCGAGGGTCGAGTTGTTTGAACCCTAGCCTAAACCCTGAAACCTAAACCGAAACCCTAATGTTTGCCGTGTGGAGTGTGGGGTTAGGGCTTCGGGGCTTCCGGGGCTTCGGGCTTAGGGCCGGTTTGGGCACCGCATCTGCTTTTGGGGTTGAGGAGTTTAATGAAAGCCCCTGGCCTAAAGCCCCTGAAACCCTAAACCCCCGAAAACACCCAACAACCCTAAACCCTAAACCCTAAACCCTAAACCCTAAACCCTAAACCTTGAACCCTAAACCCCTAAACCCTAAACCTAAACCCCAAGCACCTAAAGCAACTTCGGGCGTAGGCAGATGGCAGGGCCTAGGGTTTTAGGGTTTCTACTTCCGCGAGGAGCTTGCAGTGGGCTGGGCAAATCTGCTTTGGCTATTAGGGTGTAGGGTTTAGGGTTTAGGGTTTAGGGTTTAGGGTTTAGGGTTTAGGGTGTTCGGTGTTCGTCGTCTGACAAGGGGTTATAAAGGTTTAGGGTTTGGGGTCTAGTACTGCAATAGTCCATAGGTAAGATAAAGGTACATACGTATGCTGCTACTGCCCTACCACCAATACGAATAGTCGTACTAGCAAGCATCATCTCACCCTACTACTTACACAATAGCTACAATTGACAATAGCAACCATAGCAATAATGACAATCGGCACCAATCTACGTTACTCCGTTCATTTGAGGACCAGACCATATACACATACGCTAAGCTGCAATCCCAAAGCTCCCAAGGCAAACCCTGAAGAAGAATCAAAATTCTGTGACCAGCCCTGTATGTTAGTCACGATTCTTCCAACTCTTGTTACCAAAGCCACATAAACCCTAAATCCTAATCCCAAAGCCCCAAAGCCTGATCCCTAAACCCTAATCCCTAAACCCTAAGCCCTAAATCCTAAGCCCTAGACCCTAATCCCTAAACCCTAAATCCCTAAACCCTGAACCGCCGGGAGTCCCAAACCCTCATCCCTCAACCCCCAAACTAAGCCCTAAAGCCTTGAACTAAAAGCCATAGGGGTTTAGGGCTGAGGGTTTAGGGTTTAGGGTTTAGGGTTTAGGGCTTAGGGTTTAGGGTTTAGGGGTTTAGGGTTTAGGGCTTAGGGTTTCAACCCCCTAAACAAAGCCCTAAACCCCTGAACTCCACCCTAAAACCCGTAAACCCAACCGCGCCAGAATCCGCTGACATCCGAGCTCGATGCGATGGCCCGGGGCCCTGGGGTAAGGCCTGAGGACTTGCACGGAACGTTAGGGTTTAGGGTTTAGGGCTTAGTCTGGGGTTTTATGGCTTTTAGGGTTTAGGGGTCTGGGGGCTTAGGGCGTTTAGGGTTTAGGGGCCTAGGGGTTTAGGGCTTTTAGGGGTTAGGGGTCTGGGGGTTTAGGGTAGGAGTAAGGCCTCAAGGCTTTCCAGGAGCGAAAAGGTTTTAGAGTTTCGGGTTTCGGGGCTTCCATACCTCTCTGTTTTAGTTTTGCTCTTTGACAACTAGTCTGATATAGATTCTCAGATACGGACCCAACATCGCCGTTGTCGGCGCACTACAGTACCTTCTTTCTTCCGGACTGAATGCTTGGAGCTCTGCTCTTTTAAGCAGGGTTCTTGGAGCTGAAGTAGGTGTACCGAACTCCTAGCATGGTACCCTAAGGCAGAGCACATTACAGCACTTCTGCAAGTTTAAAATCCTTCATACCCCGGCGTCTATACCTCAAACCCTAAACCCTAAACCCTAAGCCCTAACCCCTAAACCCTAAACCCTAAACCCCTAAACCCTAAACCCTAGGATCCTGGTAACTTTAACTTGAGTTCGCGGACATGAGTCCTTGAAGACCGCTGGAGGGGTTTCCTCGAAAAGCTCCAGACACAAAGCCCTGAGCCGTGAAGCTTACTCTGAGGGTTGAGGGTTTAGGAGTCATTTGGGTGGGATATCCCAACCTTATGGCTAAACCCTAAACCCTAAACCCTAAACCCTAAACCCTAAACCCAACCTTATGGTTTTGTTTAGGTTGATCTTGGGGTCCTGATAATCTACGACAGAAGGCCTTTCTAGATCCTGCACCCATAACCCTCAACCCTAAACCCTAAACCCTAAACCCTAAACCCTAAACCCTCTACCTCTTTGGGCCAGGGCTTCTGCGCTCGCCAAGCGACCCAGTGGACAGCTCCCCTGCACTCAAACCGCCAACCTGGAGCCCTGAACCCTAAACCCTAATGCCTAAACCGTAAGCACCCTAAACCCTAAACCCTAAACCCTACTAAAACCCGAAAGCCCTAACCCTCAGCTCCGAAGTTGCAACCGCAGCTTGTAACCTTTGGGTTCTTCGAAGAGTTGAACAAACAGATCCAAGGCTCGCCTGCTGGAGGCGGAGAGAGAGAAAAACAAGGCGGGTTTAGGGGCTTTTGGGGTTATTAGGGGTTTGGGGTTTAGGGTTTTAGGGTTTAGGGGTTTGGGGTTTAGGGTTTAGGGTTTCAGGAATTTGGGTTGGGAGTTTAGGGTTTGGGGTTGTACGGCTGAGGGGTTTAGGATTTGGGTTTTTGGGTTTAGGGCAGAGGGTTTGTGGCCCTGGCCTCTCGTATCGGGCCTCGATGCTTGGAATCGGGTTTTGGGGTTTAGGGTTTAGGGTTTAGGGTTTAGGGTTTAGGGTTTAGGGTTTAGGGTGTAGCAGCATTTAGCAACCATGAAAGGGATCCCTAGTAGCTTCAAACAAGAGTTCAAGCCTCCATATGATCAGCCCTAAACCCTAAACCCTAAACCCCTAAACCCTAAACCCTAAACCCTAAACCCTAAACAGAGAAAGCCTCAGAAGATGCTTCGGCGCTGGTAGCGGCGCACGAACCGAGAACCGGAAGCCCCCAAAGCCCCCAAAACCCACATCTTTAGAGTCCCTATAAACCCTACCGTTTTAAGGGTTAGACCCTCTAATTACGGGGTCATAACCTACTATTTTGTAGGGTTTGGGGATACAGGTAAACTCTAACAACCCTAGGCCGCCGAAGCCGTGAAGCTTAAGGCCCGCAAAAACCTGGGAGGAATCCTCCTGTCCAGAAGCATCAGCAAGCCTTTGGCTTTTGGGTTTAGAGTTTAGGGATTAGGGCTTAGATTCTAGGGATTTGTAGGGATTCGGGCTTAGGGTGAGTTTAGGGTTTAGGGTTTTTTAACAAACTTCCCTTGGGGTCCCTGATTTCCGAGGCGCTGCAGGGGCAGATCGATGCAAAGGACGCCGAGGCAAATTGTTGTCGGAAGCGGTTAAGGGTTTAGAGTTTAGGGTTTAGAGTTTGTGGACGGCAGCCAGTGGTCAGAGGTCGGTCCTCTACAGCGTCTGCTACCTCTGCTACTTCTACTGCTGCTACTCCTGCTGCTGCTGCTGCTGCTGCTTCAAGCTTGTTCGGCCCGAGTCTTGGTTCAGAATGCATGGCTCAAGGTTTTCGTGTCCAAAACCCTAGACCCTGGACCTCTGTGTTGCGAGAAGCCTGACGATCGACTCCCAGCCGAGATGTCTGATGCAGGTCAAGAGCATTCTGCGAAGGTGGGCAGCCTGTCCCCGGAGACTCTGGGGACCCTGATTCAGGAACATGTACCTCAAAACAGAGTTTGAACTCCTATACAAGGCTAAAGACTCTTGCTTCATGTGTGTATATATATATATATAGAAATATTATACATATATATCCTACACATACATATATATATATATATACAATATGTATATAAAGCAGTTCTCGAGGTGGCTGTTGGCTTGTGCCGTTGACGCCGAGGGTTTCCCATGTGCATGTTTTGGTGCACTCAGGCGCCTCGAAGGGTCGCTTGCTGACACGGTGGTGCTGCAGGTAGATATCGGGGTCTCAACATCTAGAGTAGCTTAGTATAGGCCTTACTAGTTTTTAATGGGGTTTGGGGGTCCATCATACTATAGATATGATAAGGAACCCCCGAAATAGTATAGGTAATTATTTAGGCCCCTATATTAATTGAACAGGAGTTGAGGGTCCAGGGCTGCAAATTTGCATGGACTGGACAGCAACAGCATATGATTCAGGTTCTTGTTCTTTG